GCGACTTTTTCGTGATGTTCTTCATCGGCTACATATCCAGGCTGCCAGCATTCGGGTAACAGCTGAAGGGATAGATTTAAAGTATACTCGAGGAATGCAGTGCTGATCACATACTGTACCTATGATTGGCGAACGAAATTTGATGGCAGACGGCAGCATACCGCGAAGAGAGATCGGACTCTCCAAAGTCCATCGAAACTGCATTTGTGTGGAGAGTACCCTCGGCCCGCCCACACTCATTCTCAGGCTTACAATTATGCAACGAAAAGTATGCCTCGCGGTCTTCAGGCTCGAGCCAACTGAGAAGCTGCACTAAGTCAGGCTCAACGCCATACATGTTTGAACAAGGAACCATGACGAGTGGCATTTCTTGCACAATGACTTCTCCCTTCGCAATCTTCCGCGTTGCAAACATCCCGCGTCCCTTTGCTTCTACTTCACGGATTTCATAGGGGCGAGGAAGAGTTGTCGAAGGGAGAATCCATCCCTTTTGGACGTCAAACTTCGTATTTACGTCGTCGTAGATCATCTACACCGAAACGACGCGTTTGAGGTCGGGAGTTCTACAAATATGCAAGAGGGTGGATGGATGACCATTCTCCTCGTTCGAGGTTCGCAGGGGCTCTTGCCTGTTGTTAATAACGATATTAGGCGTCTCGGAGTCCATCTTCTGTGGAAGCTGCAATTCAGATTAATTTTACACCGTTGAATACTCAAAATTACCTTTAGCTTACTCTGTTTGAATCTGGTAATAAGGGGGCGATTTTTGTATGAGCTGTTGTAAAAAGAACGCTCCTGAAATCTGTACTGAGGGGGAAACTGTCAGTTAACAAATATATTCATAACTCGCTGATGAGGAATGAGAGAATATTTACCAGAAATATACGTACAATATTAAAACTTTACTAGGCGACACTATGATCCCCGTACAAAGCTCCCAAGATGAATTGATCTAGCCTGCACGTTTGAAAGTAAGTGAGGGTAGAGAATGATATAGGATTGTGAAGGTGCACTTACTTAGGCATTTTATGCACTTGCAGGCCAGAGGCCAAAAGTCAAAAGTCGGGCACAGCATATGTACCACAAGTACCACAGCAATATAGAATAAACGAGTACTAAGCTCGGCCTCAACATGTATATGGTAAGGCGAATGGGTTGGTCATACTAGTACAGATGCATTATTGATGATGGATTTGGCCTTATAGATGCTGGAAAGAAGACTACATGGACGTCAAAGGCTGTTCTCAGGCTGTAGCACTACTATTCACAAATTAATTTGACATACCTTCTTTGGAAATTAAACCTAAATAAGTAAAGGAGCTTGAAGCGTATATCTAAATATTCTGTTGTTTAGATGTAGTATTGTATCACACAATCTGTCAATCCCACAGAATAAATGAATCAGAGAAGATTTATTTTTTAAAATTCAATACTAGAGACAAAGGTGAGTTTGGGACTTTAGCATCACTACACATGCAGTCTGATTTTCCTCAGATATGCAACTTCAGAAACTACTGCCAGACATTACAGAACACATTTCTCATTTGAGCACAACAAGTGGAGGAGGCCATAGTACGGATTTCAAGGCTAAGATAAGTTAAGTTTACATAGCAAAATGTCAGCTGGCAGTTGTGTTTTATCTGACAAAAGACATAACGAGAGACAACTCAGTATCTGCTGTTTATGAATCTACTAAGGCATTGCTACATCGTTGCAACTTCTTTAAAAATGACTACGCAATGTCCTTTTCCTTGGTTACAACCTTTCTCGGGTCGGCTACTATATTCCAGAGTGCAAACGTCGACGGGTTCGCATGCCAGCAATCCCACATGATATACACTGCATTCCCACCTTTCCTAAGCAAGGCTGCTGTTTCGCAGCTCCACTTCTTGAAGTTCTCTCTATCGCCAAGCCCGCCGTACATATACCCAAGGTGCTGAGAAACCTGCATACGCTCACCATAATACGCTTTCTCGCCGTCCACTGCGCGCAGAATCTGTATACAATACTCGATCTCACGATTCGCGAGTGTTACTCGTGATTGCGGACGGCATGACATCCACTCGTGCATACGTTTCTCAAGAGACGATATAGCGTCCGCTATGAATTTCCTTCTGTCTTCCTTACCTTAGCTATGTTCTTAGGTGTATCAGCACAGTCTGAACAGGCGCAACGAAATCCGTATTTCGTCTGTAACTCCTCCAGGCGGGCATCCCGCGTTGTGAGGATCTCAGTATAGCGGATGCAGATCTCTTCTCCCGACTCGATGTCGCAATCTGCACGAAGCTCGAATGTGACTGTCTTTTGGTCGGAATGGTATCCAGCATTCGGTGTACAGCTAGAGGGATAAAATTAGGGCATAGTCGAACAATATACGGACGAATGGCAGACCTATGGTTGGCAAGCGAAATATCACGACAAACCGCAGCATACTCCGAACAGAACTTAGACCCTCCGAAATCCAACGCAATTGCATTCGTTCTAAGAATACCTGCAGCAGGTCCACACTCCTTCTCCGGCTTACAATTTAACAACGAAAGGTACGCGGCACGGTCTTCGGGCTCTAGCCAGTAAAGGAGCTGCATGATACCACAGTCGGCGCCGAGCCATTCGGAACCGGGTCGCGCAGCGGTTGCTCGAGCCACCATGATGAGCGGCATTTCGCGCACGATGGCTTCTCCTTTCGCGATCTTTCGGGTTGCGAACATCCCGCGTCCCTTTGCTTCTACTTCACGTATCTCATAGGGTCGTGGAAGAGGTGTCGAAGGAGGGATCCAGCCCTTTCGGATGTCGAACTTCTTATTCATGTCGTCGTAGACCATCCACGCGGAAACGACGCGTTTGAGATCGGGCGTTCTGCATACGCGGAAGAGCGGGGTTGGATAACCCCTCTGTTTGTGTAATGTGTGCAGAGGCTCTTGCGTATTGACAATAACACGGTCAGGCATCCCCGACGTCATTTCGGATGCTACAACGCCAAAAAATTAGTGTTATGCAGTCAAATACTTTGAGACCATCCAACTTACTCTGCTTGAATCTCGATTTCGTACAGTATTGCAGCGATTCGGCTTGTGTTGTCCTTCACACAAGAGTAAACTGCTTTAGGCGGTGTGTCTGGAGGAGAGGGTGATTACAGAGAGATGCTTGCGCCTCCGAAGGCACACATCTTCTTTTATTGACTCGTTGGCCACCGGCCAGCCCGAAACTCGGCGTTAGGCGCAGCAGATGAGCCCACAATACCACAATGCCATCGAGTAAACAATTGTCTGACTCGGGTTACCATGTGACAACAGTAGAATGAGCAGATCAAGATACTCAATGACGCCAGTCCTGCAGGTGCTTCGTCAATGACAGGCCTAAGTTCAAAAACGTCGCGAAGTTTAAGAAGGCTGAATGGATGTTTGAGACTTTCGACAGGTAAAATCCAGAAACTCCTGATGACCCGGACTAGCTAGGCGTCTGCTTGATATAAGCTGAAGCTGAAATCACAAGATATAGAGTGGTAGGACGATAACGTTTGTGGGTTTGAACAAGTACTCGTCCTCCAAACACGAAGAAATTAACTTGCTTAGAAATACGTTCCCACGCCTGCTGTACCTTTCCATTGTTTCCTAAGTTCCTTAAAATTCTATCCAATGGCGCTTTCCACCTTCCAACCCACAGCTTCGCCGAGAATTGTTCATCATCTCTGTGCTAATGAGTATGGCATTATCAACAGCGAGTTCGACACCGCGAACGGTAGCAATGACGGGTAGTTTGGTTAAATATGGAGATGAGGTCATGCATACATGAACGCTAATCGTGACTTGTCTACATGTGAACGAGAAGTTTGATAGGGCTGGTTCATATAAAAGAACTGTCGCTTAGAAAGAGATTCCCATATACACAATAGTCTAATCCACACTGAAAAGAGATGCTCTACACTGTGTGCCGAATACGATTCTCCAAAGATGCATTATCAAAAGGCTTATTGAACAAAAGGACTGCCTGATCTGGTCCCTTGATGGGAAGGTGGTCGGACGGGTGGGTGTCCTCGCTGTGAATTTGCAGTCCATCACCTACTGGACCATGGCAGTCCACAATAACGACATTGACATTGTCGTAGGGGGCTCCTTCAGACATCTTGTATTCGTCAGTAAGAGTGGCTGTTTCACCATCCGAGACATTGTCCCATGGATCAGTGTTCGGATCCTCGTAACAACCAATAAATGACTGTGCATCCCTAAGCCAGTTATAAAGAAACGCTGATTGTTTGTGTTTCTGGGGGGCTACACTTGTGCTGCAGGTGCTGATGTCATCCACAGACGATGGACGTCCTCCTTCGGAAAAATCAACACCGTCAACACTTCCCTTGTCAAGTACTATGTCAGATTGTCCCGCTGACCCAGTACCACCTGCTTGCGGACCACCCGATGCTGAATCTTTGCCAGGTCGTTGGCCCTTCTTTCCATGCCAAGGTCTTTTTAATGCAGCATTATTCAACTTTAACCTTTGTGCCATGACGTCACTGTCCCATTGCTTGAACTCGTTCTCCAGCCATTGAGATTGAAATTCCGAAATACTGCACAGAATGAAATAGCTCTCGAGAAGGTCTGGAAGAAAAGTAAGAGAGTAGGGTCGTTGTAAGATTGGCTGTACACACTTCAATACAATGATCATAAGTGTCTCAGCTCGGAGCTGGCAGGGAAAACCGAGAAAAAAAAAATAAACACACCAGCTCATTGCCATCCCAGTAAGACACCAAAAAGATAAGACTTTCTTGATCTAAGATAGTCCCGAATACAGGACCATCTTTGCAGCACAGGGCGCGTCGTTGCAGTTGTGCAGAGTAAAAGTCCATGGTGATTTGGCGAATTGCTGTGTCGAAATCATCTACCTTTGCTTCAAAGGCAGAAGTAATGATGGAAAGCGGGATGCTGGTCGAGTAACTCCATCGGAGTGTGAAATTATTCGGCACTCCATGGACTATGCTTTGCCAACGTTCCGGAAGATCCTTGCTCGTAATAGTGTCAGCTACAACTTTGTTAGGTTTGCCAGGTAATGCAAGTTCCATTTCAGGTCTATCGTATGAGTCATCTAGGTTAGAATGCAAGAAGTAGTGTCTTAGAAAGTGACTTACTGCCAAAAGTGGTCAGAATTAGGGCGCAGCTCGAACGCCACTTCAATAATGTTGTCTACACCCTTTCTGCAACTGGATTTGTTTTTCTCTCTCCTCTTCGCATTGATAAATGACTTCCACGAAGCACATAGATGCGGGAACCATCCTCTGAAGTTGTATCGATCAGTGTCTTCGAGTTTCTCCGTACAAATGTTCTCAATCCAAGACCGGATATCCTCGACCGCGCCCTCGCTTACATCGCCCATGCATTGCAGCAGTTCTACAATCTAGCATCCAAATTAATTATGACAATGAGCAAAGAACGAGACACACCTTTTCCCTTTCATCTTTGAGAACGTTGGGATATTTGCAGTTCTTCATGAAATCATCGAACTCTTTATTTTCCCAATAAGCCTGATTGTCGAATGGTCGAATTCTGTGCTCTTGAGACCATGTTGTCCATGTCCGAACATTCCTAGTCATACTAAGTTGGTGTCAGTACGAGCTCAAAATCATACAGTAGGACTTACTCAGAGGCAGAAGTATTCACGGAGCGATTGGACCTTGCGGATGGCCCTTGAGAAGAATGCGTTGCACCAGCATCAGAGTTCAATTCAATACCTTCAAGTACATCTCTGTGTATAAGTTCAGTACGAATGTCAAAGTATAGACATGAGATACGTACTCTTCTGGCATGCTACCAAAATACAAGGACACATCAGCAACAGAGTGGCATTATGGGTAGATGCAACTCACAATTGCAATGTTGGCAGGACTTGGGCCCTACAGTGTGAAGATCATTTATTTAAAGGCAAGAGATGAAATAAGGATTCACTGCTTGACTCAACAAAAGGTGCTTGCGTCATCAACGTGAAGAGGTTCGGCTGGACCCGTGACGTCACGTGACTGACATTTAGGCCACTGAAGAAAGCCGACTATTTGGAAGTCTGATATCTTTGTGCTGCAAGAAGGTACAACTCAGGGTTCGAGGGCTAACTCCCTTGGCTTCAGGAAGAGATGGCCATGGAGAGCAGTTGGCAGCGAGGTTAACCTCTGTGGCCAATAAATGACCTGCAGAACTATTGCTTAGAAAGAGGTTCCCACGCTATTGTACCTCTTGCAATCGACAGCTTTGAAATTGACGAGAATTGAAATCTTCTCCGCTCTGCACAAAGAATGACATTATCAATATCGAGTTCATCATCAAGTAGAACAACGGCGACGATATACGACTAGTCGTTGCTGATAAATATAGACATGAGGTCATGCCATGCATACATGAACGCTAATCGTGACTTGTCTATATTGCTCCATCCAGTCGTCTCACATGCTATCCTCTTTCCGCTCTCTAATCGCATCCACTACTGCTTTTCGCTCTCGCCACATCACTGCTTCACGCTTCTCTGCAATGTCATCGTCCTCACAGTCGACAACAAAACCCGATTTGAAGACATGGACACAAGAACGTCTCAAGGCACTCTACACGGCCCCGGATGACGACGCGTTCCACTCTGCGTTCGAGAGTGCTTTCGCACCTGAGGGACAGTCTACTATCGTGATTAATGGTAAAGAGATGCCGAGAGAAAAGCTTAAGGACGAGATTAAGGCACAGAGGGCGGCAATGACGAAGGTAAACGTAGAGTTCCACGAGCCAATCGAGGATGCAGAAACGACGAGGGAGATTGACAATGCGGACTCTCAAGTGAGTTCCACGATGGCTACTCAGAAGAACATCTGTGTTGATAATTCTGCCAGCCTGGTATCGTGAAGGGATCATGGACAGTCACTCGCTCCCTTCGCTTCAAGTTACGTGGAGCACCAGATCAAATGCGTCGCATTAGTCAATTCGAGGCAAAGTACGTCCATTCACTCAGCTCATTTCCATGTACAACAGAGAGTCTCGTTATCCTAACAGTCGGCGGTAGAGTGGAACCTCTTTCTCCTGGTTCAGACGAGTACAGAATCGTCCATCTTGCGGAGACCGTGGAGGTGAAGCGCCCGCCCATCCAGCTCTTGCCCGCATCACTGCAGCAAACGGACCAAGCCCAGTAGTTCTGTGAGTGGGATTGGATGTGTTAGGGAGGATCGAGGAGAAGCAACTCTAAACGCACTACATCTATCCACTTGATGAATGTCGTTTCTCGTACTTGATGCGCTATGTATGCGTCGGAAATGTCTTCTGAACATACTTATGCGCTATGTATTGTACTGCTTAGACTTATTAAAATAAAATACCAACCCATTCGAAAATGATATTTATTTCCCAGCGTGCACACGGGACGCGGGATCTATTTATATTGATTATCAGCCAAAAGATCTCCGATCAAAGACGTTAAGTCCGTCCGTCAAACTCATTACTCATGGTCTTTGACGTTTGACCGCCATGGCAGCTGCGGCATCACGCTTCAAACTCGTCTTCTTCTGCCCTATCAAAAACACCTCAGAAGTTCTCGAAAGGCTGTTCAAGTCACATCCGACACATGTCGGTAGGCTTGGGGAGTATGAGTGTTGTGCCTTTATAACACCTGGAATAGGTAGGCCCTATGTCTATATCTGAGCTTTGTTGACGCAACATTAAACACAAGCACATACCTTGCTCCTCTGATTTGCTTATCCACACCACATACTTCTTTCTTTTTAGGATTCGTCGAGTGAATGTTGCTGACTGTGATACAGGACAGTTCAAGGCTCTAGGCTCCGCCAGCCCACATATCGGCTCCATCGGACAACTCGAATCAGTCGAAGAACATCGCGTAGAAGTGTTAGTGAAGGATGAAGGACAGAACGAGCAGATTCGTGGAGCTGTCAATGAACTGAAGAAGGTACGCATCGGACTTTACAGAAAAGTGAGAAGAGAAGAGATGTCGATTGACTTCTCTTCGGGGAATATGATATGATATTAATGTTGACAGGCACATCCGTATGAGGAGGTTGCGTACGAAGTTTACCGAATCGAGGATTTCTGAGTAATTAATTAGGAAAAAGGAAATAAGTGTACGGTATTACCATCTTCGCGACAAATCAAGATTGTGGTTATACAGCCTTCGATCGGATCTTTCATTTTGGCATTTATCAATTTTATGCACTGCTACAATGCATAGTCTCATGCCGTCCAAAAACAATATTTATAAAGGCATTGCCCATACTTGTTATAGTAGGAGCCTTACAGTTTGGACACGGCGGCTCTCGTGCAACATGGTGCAACTTCCAACAATACCTACTCTTTGCGCTCATACAAGTTAGAGCCACCAATTGTTTTATCCTTACAAAAAGCTGTGAGTTCTCCTATAATTTGAATTCCCGGATAATAAAAAGTCCTCACTCTGACTCTTATTTGGATGCTTAGGTCGGTAAAGGCGCGTGCCACCGCTTCGCGCGCCGACATCTTCAACGCCGTATAAATTCTTATTATTGGACACGCCCCTTCAAAACACTCTCATCACGATCCTATTACCCAATATTCAAAATGGACACGCCTGACCGCACGCTAGTGTGTTCGTACAAGCCTCTCATTCGCCAGACCAAGATATATGGCCTTCCTGTACCTATCTTTCGCATGTGCAGGACGCCCGACAAGCAACGAGTCGTCTCAACATGGATGGTCTACGAAGATTTCAACAGGGCTTTCAGCGTCAACAAAGGCTGGGAAACCCCTTCTACGCCTCTTCCTCGTCCATACGAGATTCGCGAAATCGCGGGAAAAGGCCGCGGGATGGTGGCACTGCGCAAGATATCAAAGGGAGAAGTCATCGTGCGCGAACTTCCACTTCTCGTTGCAGCCCGTGTGTTTACCTGCATCCCCGGTAACAAGTGGGCTATGTTGGATGCCGGATTGCTGCAACTGCTCTATTGGTTCGAGCCGGAAGACCGCGCCGCGTACCTTTCGTTGCACAATTGCAAGTCCGTAAACGAGTGTGGTCCACACACGGGTATCCTCCGTACCAATACAATTGAACTTAGTTGCCCGGAGTCCGATATTTGTACGCAATATTCGGCCGTTTGTCGTGAGATATCGCTAGTCAATCATAGGTGAGTATATGCGCGCGCATCAACTTTGGTACAAAGCAATAAACCATATCTCTGTCCCTGAAGCTGCTCACCAAACGCAGGCCAACATAGTGACTCGAGGACACTCATCTGCGACCTTCGTGCAAAGCGTGACATCGTCCCAGGCGAAGAAATCACCATATCCTACATTGACAGCGTACGCCCAACTGCAGAAAGAAAAGCAGAGCTTAAAACCAATTACGGCTTTGATTGTACCTGTTCGGTATGTGTCGCTTCACCTCACAACCCTGCAAGCGACGAGCGGCGCAAGTTCATCTCCACTGCTCTGTCATCCTTCAACTCATCGTCATCATTCGATGAATGGATAGAGATGCCTCCGCGGATCAGAAGCACGCGTACGAAACGCGACATCAAGTACTACACTGACGTCCTACGTGCGATAGACGAGGAGCAACTTGACGCGATCGCGCGTATCCAGGTGACACAGCGCCTTGCGTATATGTTTGGTATGCTTGGAGAGTGGAAGAACTTCAAGAAATGGGCTGCAGAGTCGGAACGTCTTTCCAGCAACGAGCATGCCGCGATCCCTGATATCCATAAATTGTGGGCGGGCTGGCGGGCAGACCCAAAGAGCCTCCCTGGATGGGCGACACTTTCTTAAATTCAGCAGGTTTCTTTTAATTTTCGTGCTTCATTTGTTGTGAAGCTGGCTGCTCAGGGCTTGTTAAACTTTGTGCATTTTTGTGTGAAGTTCATATGTAGGAAAAGTAACAAAAATGGTTTACTGTACATGTAGAGCAATGAATAGAGGACGTTGAATCACTGAATCAGTGAAAATTAACGAGGCTAGTGACTAATCACAGATCAGAACTGGATGTATCTGGATTTCTGACTGAGATGACCTCTCACTCTTATTATGCTAACACCAGCTGTCTAGGATACAAGGTACATATTATTAACAGAATATACTATTTCCCATGTAGAATTCATAATCTCAAGTATGAAGTTATAATTAAATTTTGTATAAATGAGTGTAATATAAACTTGAAAGATTAAGACTGTTACAACTCAGATGTATTACCTTAATCCTGTAATGATGCTATGGAAAAAGTTGATTTTTATATTAATGTAAAGCAAATTGCTGTATACTGGAGAGTATTTAGAAAACAAAACTCAGGATAGTAAGTAATTAGTAAGAAAGAGAAAGCAAATTCACACTCTTATTTATAAATTCTTCACATTCATAGGAAGTAATAATTTCTTCTGTACAACTATTAATACATGACTAATAAATAGTAATACAATGTAGAAACATTTTATTGTTTACTAGATTTTTACTTATTTGTCACTCTACTCATAGTTCATTTATTTATGTATTTGTTTTAATATATGTCCAAACATATATTTATAAGAACTGACTGTAGGTACTTGTAAACTATACTCTTAAGCAAATTCATTCTCTCTTTTATAGAACTTTTTACATTAATATATATTACATTTTAACTTATACATTTTATACTGAATTCTCATTTTCTACTTAATAGAATATAATGTACTAAGTATTTATTATATACTACTATACTGTATAATCTTAATAATAATTTATCCTTACTTACAAATCTTAGATACTTTAATAACTTTAAGTTATAAGTATTTTCAAATACTTAGAGAGTATAATGTATATTTTAGAGTATAAGACTAGACAGTAAAACTTATAACTAATATTTATAATTGACAGAAGTATAATACTAGTATTAACAAGCTGTAGACTCTTTATGAAAGAGTAGTTATACTGTAAGAACAAGTGTTCAGACTCAGAAGAAGGTTGATTAGTAGTTGTCTAAGTAGAGAGAACAATAGAGAATAGTGGAGAACAAGTGTAAAAGACTACTAAAGACTGTAAAAAAGTAACTACACACTTTAGGATTAAATTCAGACAGAGAGAAGAGTGCAGTAGTATATTTGGAAGCTAAGTACTGACAGTAGAGTGTAGAGGAAGAAAACCTTTACCTCTCTAGTATTAGAGAGGCTTACTATATATACTAGAGAATTCTAATAAACAAGTAGTAAAGTAAGATAGAATGAGTGAGTATACTATAAATAAATAAAAACAACTTAAAACTAAGTAGAAGGCTAGTCTCAAAATTGAGTATAAGTAAGTAATACTAGTAATATACTGTAACAGTAGTAACTAAGTCTTAAATACTAACATTAAGTACATTCAGCTATAGTTCAGTATCTAACCTTTAATTAAGAGTACACATGTAAGTCCTATACACTATAGTGTTTATCTCTTATTAAAATACTAGTTTTAAGATACTAATTTAGAATACTTTAGTATACTTTTAAAACTATAATACTAAATATTGTATATTTCTATTATAACTGAAACATAACTTTGATTCACAACTATTACTTCATTTCTACTGAGTCTTAACTTATATAGAAACACAATGAAATTCTATGTTTATAATCTCTAAATATGTCTTAATTGATTAAGAAATAACTATTAGCTTTAGTAATTTGTACTTATTTTTAATAGTAATACTAGTATGGGTTGTTTTTCTTAATTTTTTGCATACTGAATTGTACACTATAAACACTAACAAGTTTGAGACAATACTTGAAAATACAAAGAACCAATTATTTCTACTACTTTGATACAATGTATAGGAGTTAAAACTTTCCACTGAAAATGCTCTGCAAAACATAGAACTTGCTTGCTATCATCAGAAAAATGGATGCCAGAGTAACGGTCCCTTAGAACAATAAATTAAATATTGTCTTTAGAGCATGTATAAATTAATGAATGTGTACCTGCAAATATACCAACTGGATGAAAGGTACTGTAGTGTTCTTCAATAGCCCCAGAAATGGGTGGTCCTACTAAAGCACCTGTTTCAAGGAAGTTAAGACAGAAGTTAGAGTATAATAAGGAGTTGGCATACCTATGGCCATAATAGTCATTTGCAAGCCAGTTCGACGACCAACATCATGAATTGCGCCAAAATGTGCTGCAGGGGCAGCAACGAGACAAACAAACACTCCTGAAGTGACTCTGTCTCTCAAAATTAAAATTAAAAGTAGACAACATAGAATGAGATATGCTTACCCATAGAGAACTGCTACAGTAATGAAAGCACCCTCAGTAGTTACGAACGGCCAGATGTATGTGAAAACAGCAGCTAGTGCTGTACATATGATCATTATGTTCATTGATCCATAATGTACTGCAAGTGCTCCACTTATCAAACGGCCAACAGCAGAGGCGGCGTTGGCAAAAGCGACAGTATAAAAAGCAAGATTTGCATCCATTCCAATAGCTTCCGCACTGACAGTGAGAAACGTGAGTGCTGGATGAGTCAATAAGTCTTCATCACAATACTCAAGAAAGAGTATAAATGTTATACATACGAGTATATAGTCCCAAGAAGGCAAGTAATGTGGAGAAAACATAAAGCCCGTAACCTGGAGAAGAAAGGGAATGGAAGTCCAACAAGTTTGGGAGGGCGGTTGCACAAGGGATACGACTGTGCATTGTCTACAGTATTCTTGAAAATCTGGCTCCTTAGCAATGTGAGTTGTAGACATTACACACAAAAATTGCAAAAACTGAGGCAGCAACAGTTATAAATCCTATTGTGCGCACAGTCCACTTGAATCTACCATGTCAATAGTAAGTCTCATTCAGTTGACATAAGTAGCTTGTTGCTACCCACCCCACTTCAAGGAGCATATTGCGTATCATAATAGGATATATGATACCTCCTAAGGAGCCGCCGAAAGATATTACTGCGAATGCAAGAGGCTTGCGGCGTTTGACTGAGGCTATTGAGTCAACTACTCATTAGAACAAGGGAATGCAGAACTTACACCAATGAGACGTGACAGTGATGCACTGTATAAATATGAATCCAGCTGACACCTGCTCGAAAACAAGGTGTCATAATCAGAGACTAACCAATATAGTGCTTTACTATAGTAAGCTAGCTTACACCGAGCAGCAGCCCCTGGCAAAGGATCAGCTGCCAATACTTCGTACATTCCGCGATCAGGAAATTAGCAATAATCATTAGCACTAAGGCACAGACTAATGTCTGCTTGAAGTATCCGAGATCGAAAAGGCGACCAGCAGGAATTCCCTGACACACACATGACGGGAAATCAGGCAGATAGTCTATAAAGAGAGGTTACATACCGGAAGGAAAATTAGCGAGTACTAAAATCAATGTGAGTGTGCAGGTGGTAATCTTAATATGCCTTAAGTACAGCTACATGTTACATACCTGAAGGGATCCTATCCAAGCACTTTAATCACAATAAGATTTAACTACAAATTATTCAAAATAGAGAGAGACGTACATTTGTGAAGGTGTGTTGTGTGGTAAGAGGACAGACTCATAATAAGCTTGATAAGCCTTAAGCGGCCAAGTGAACAACAACCAGCATTTTCAATGAGCATGCAGACTTACTCCCCATGAAGTGAAATACCCAAATGTACAAAGTGCTAAGAAAAATGCCTATATTGAGGGAGAATAAGTGTGTGCACAAAAAATAACACAGAAATCAAGAAATAGTTCACCCCTATTACCACCATCCAAGCTTCTCTTCCTCCGTCTGGGACTTCTTCTAGTGCAGGAATCACATGTACAGTCTCTGTGGCAGGTTCTTTGGCCTCTATCATTTTGTCGTCTTGTACAGTGCTTAGAGTACAGCCTACGTTCTTTGTGGAAGAGGTGCTAGTTGGGTGAACAGAGGGAAGCTGTGACGTGGAGAGTTATACATGATCTCTGTGGAGCTACTGTGATCATTAGAAGATCAAAAGTCACGTTCCATCTCTTACTAACACTTTTAGCACATTGGTGGCAAAGATTAGTCCGTAATAACGGTTTTGTGACAGCTATATGAAAGAAGGCCTACCTAAAAGAAAAATCAGGAACTATTAGGGCTAAATATAGTAGGAGATTCGACATTCTCCTGTATCGGGTCAGTACGTGCTCTCATCTTCACACATTATAGGAAGCACTTGTATATCATGAGACGTACTCATTTATCATAAGAAGTGATGTAAGTGGTTGAAACTAAAAATAAAGAAGGGTTGAAAGCCTAGACTAATTCTAGAGTTAGATTCATCATTTTTTTATATTTACTCGCTGACAGCAGTGTTGTTCGGATCTATCTATCATAAGGCCATCGGAGTTAGCAGATATTATAGAATAGAAGTCTTACAGTAGGACCCTGGACTCCTCAGTATATTAAGTACATCACAATTGACCTATTTTTCCTCTTACTCATTTTACACTGCTCTGACTGTACTGAAGCATGAACTTTATCTGAACAAGGCAGTGAGTCTACCCATCATTCGATTTAATCCTATTTCTATTGCTTGTACACAGTATTGCATCCTAATAAGCTACACATTAGCTTCTCTTTTTCTTCACATATTGTCTCTCGCTTGTCCATTAATGACACTCAAAGGGACCTAGCTTCCATGACCCGAATGTAGTCAGCAAAGAAGCCACAAAAGACTATTGCCCCAAGACAAAAGGTATTCTGCCTGAAAAACACTTTTATAAAGTAAGAAGCAATAAATAGGAATAAGTAAATAGGACATACACCAGCAACTTTTTGGTGACGTTTCATTGAGGACAAATGTTATCCGAATTATATATGCAGCTGTCCCACCAACAGAAATTGCAAAGTACGGAAGTCCATGGTTGTTGACAATGCCAAACAATGAAAGTATGCAGAGAAAGCACATAGCAAGGCAATATACTATAAACTTCACTTTACCTTCAAATAGAAGTGAAGTTGACCAGATTCCAACCTTTCTGTCGTCAATACGATCTTGACTGCCATACACAGTGTCTGTTTGCATAATGTTAGGCAGAGTATTATAGCAATTTTATAAGTAAGGTTAATATTCGCACCATACAGTAGTGTCCAACTGATAGGCGTTTGAGATGAGTCTGAGAAGAATACAAAAAAGTGATGCCTCTTACCACCATAGCCCAATCATCATCACTACTGCAGGATACGTTGCAGAATGATAGTCATGTACAATCTCAAGCCAAGTCACCAGGAATCCGAAATTAATTGCAACACCTAGCCACGCCTGTGGCCAGTATGTAACCCTTTTGAGAATCGGATATAGACAAGACCTAAGAACAGTTATGCTTTGCAAGGAGGCTGTACAGCTAAGGAGTGACTAACAGGGGTAGAAGCTGAATCATTGCTGCGAAAAATCTAAGGTGGATCGAGGTATCTAACTAGTGTTCGCCTGTAAATTAAACATAAAACTTACGCAGTACTTTTCAGAGTTGAAAAGAACAATGCATTCGCTAGTACCTGCGCGGCAAAGAATGCAATTGCAGACGACACAGAGATCCTTCCTGAAGCAATTGGCCTATTTTTCGTTCTCTCTGTACAGTGATACGGCGGCAAGAAATGAGTATTGGCTATGCAAGTAAGAAAGTTGAAGACGGCCTTACCTACCTCAGAGTCCACGTTCCTGTCAATAATATCGTTAATTGTGCAGGCAGCACTTCGCATAAGAAATGACCCAATGACGCATTTCTGGAGCATCCAACAGAAAGACGCATATGGGAGTTTTACAGAATACGCAGCCGCTGTGACGTCAGGAAAAAGTCTTAATTATTATATACTCTTATATGCATATATAATATGTAAAAAAACAATATTATCCATAATGACATTTATTGCACCCCTCATTGGATAAGATATATAAAAGATACTATAAGGTTGTAATAAGACAGATTTATATTATGAGAATTAATAAACATTACATGTCCTTACAATAGGGATATAAGAATTATAGCTCTTAGGAAAGTCTATAATGGTATATATTGCACCCCTCTTCTGATATGGCATAATACTTCTTCTGCTATCTTATAATCCTTAAATAAGTTAATTTACAGCTTATATCTTATCTGAATGGCTTATTATACAATATATTTTTTATTTAAATATTTTATTCTTTACTAACAACACCAAACAGTACATAATATTAACACATTATAACAGAAACAAAACTATCACTACCTTAGCAAATCACAACAACTGATAGACATACCATGGGTATTCATCTCCTCGTGCTCTTTCTTCCTCTGCTTTGCGAGTTTGCCCCAGTATTTACATTCCTCTACAAACAGCAAACGCCATTGGTATGAGATTGTTTTGGAGAGGTCAGCTCGACACTGATGTCGTGCGACCAGGTTGCCTTCTGCAGGTAGTGCAGCCTCTGCCTGTTCTTTTTCAAACAGCATTTGCAA